GTGAGGAATGTAAACTGGCTGGCAGAGAAAGGCTGTGGAGAGGGGCTGAAGAGAGAGTATCACTTTAGCCCTGAGAGTTGAGAGAGAGGTCAGAAGGTGAAGCCCAGCTGTAGTGAGGCAAGGAGGCAAGGGCCGGTGCTGCAGGTTGGGGTGCTGCAGGTTGGGGTGCTGCAGGTTGGGGTGCTGCAGGTTGGGGTGCTGCAGGTTGGGGCGCGGGGTCTGACTTGTTAGGCGGGGCTGCTGTCCTTGGTGTGAGGGACTGTGGAGTGAGAGGTGGGTGAGAGGCTGCTGCAGAGGTGAGAGGGGAGGGCGGCGAGGCTGCCAGCTCTGGAGACCCCAGCAGAGGAGGCTGAGGAGCTGCAGCGGGGGGGGGGCTCGAGCAGCATCTCCTAGAGGGTCTGAGGGCGGGCTGTGAGAGCTGAGTGTCTGGGCCCTTTGCACTGTGGAGGGAGGGAGGAAGCGGTGAGGGAGGGACGTGGCCTCAAAGAAGAGCCCAAATATAGAGGATTTTTTGCCATTTGCCGGCGGTGACAGAAGCTTGGAGAATTAGTGCATCAGAAGTTTTCTCTATAGGCCGCTGAGTGTCACCACCAAGTTTATAGTGTTGCCAACCTGTGTGACAGTAGAAGATTAATCACTTAGGTTTTATGGCCTCCAGAGGCCGAGGGAGCTGAGATTACAGACCAGGCATCCCAGTGGGGTGTCTTTGGGGGGCTGGGAATGAGTATTTCCCATGGCATGGCAGGGCAGTTTTCAGAGTGAACTATCCCCGAGTGACCGAATTAAGGCTGAGCAGACTTCTAAGCCCCGGGAACGGTTGTCACCAGTTCTCAAAGCTAAGAAGAGCACCAAACCTTTGTCCTTCTGGATGTCACTGGGGGCCAAGGGGAAATCCCTGGGGACAATTACCAGGGACCATTAGACTTCCAGATGCAGGCCCCCCGAATTTCCAGATGGCAGGGGAGTGCTCTGAGGGAAGGGCATACACCCAGGGCAAAGCGAGGCCAGGTGAAGGGAACAAACCCCAGAACAAGAGAACTGGAAGCCGGAGAGCTCAGCCTGCCTGTGAGGTGTGAGGTGACTGGTGTCGCATGTAAGCTGGCAATGGCAAATAGGCAGATCCTGGAGGAGAGAAGCTCAGGTGGTAGGTGGGGGGCTCAGGACTGGGGGTCTTGGCCCCCAGGAGCCTCACACGCTGCTTCTCTGAGTCACGCACCATGTGATAGGTGCTTTCAGGTGCAGAGCACAGCAGAGAAACAGCCAGAAGGAGAAAGGGCAAGGGGCTTTACCTTCTCTGAGGACACGGGGAGAATGTGGGGAAGGGGGAGGAATTCTTTTGATTGGAACACAGGGAGGCTGAGGCTTATATGGCCTTTTGCCGCGGGTGGGGGGGTTCCGAGGGGATGTTTAGATAGACCTGAGGGGCTGACTGGGGCCTTCTCTGAGGCGGCGGGACGGGTGGAAGTAAGTTATGTCTTGGGCTAAGTTAGAAAAGGAGCTGGGGAGATGGCTCTGTGGAATAAGTGCTTCCCTGGCAAGCTCAAGGGCCTGAGTTCTATCCCTGGTTCTGCAAAAAAAAAAAAAGAAAGAAAGAAAAGAAGGGGGAGGTGGTCTTGGGAAGATGGGCTTCTGTTTTAAGGGCATCGGCCATCCATATTAGATGACCACCATAATGATTTTAGCAATTTCTGCTAGGGCCAGAACCTGTCAGGAAGGAGCAGACACGGCATATGGTTTCTGTTTGTTCTTTTGAGATAGGGTCTCACGACGGAGTTCAGATTGTGCAGCCCAGGCTGTGCAGTTTCTGTGGCACCCTTCTCTCCCTTTCGAGGCTGGGCTTGGACATGACGGTGGGTCAGCGCCAGCCAGGAGGGCATGGCAGGGCGGCCACTGGGGTTCCCGGGCCAGGAGGCTTCTCGCCTTGCTCTCTGCGTGTCCTACCTTGCTTCCTAGGACACCATGCAGGAGAGGGCCTGTTCCTCCCCCTCTCACCACGCTCATTAGCGCCTGCCCTCGCAGGGTGGCCTGGGACTCTGGAAGGTCCTTAAGACCTTTCCAAGAGGCCCTTGGTATCAAAACTTTTTTTTTTTTTTTTCCAGAACTGGGGATTGAACTCAGGCCCTTGAGCTTGCCAGGAAGTGCTTATTCCACTGAGCCATCTCCCCGGCCCCTCAAAACTGTTTTGATGACAATATTACAATGCTCCTTGCCATAGTCTCCCCTCCTTTCTCTCCATAGTATATGGCAGAACCTGGAATGTGGTGAATCATTGCTCTGGTGGTGAATGTGTTTGTCTGTAATATTTCTTTTGGTTTTCTTTTCTCACATGGTAGACATTGCTGTGACCCGTAGGTGGCCACCACTTGGGGTGCTGAGTAACACTGAGGAGCACAAGGGGTGCTGGGCCAAGGTGTGGAGACCCCTGGCCTCCCACGAAGCTGGGACGCGCTGGCTTACGGGCAGGCCACATAAGGTACCTTGCTCTTTGCTCCTGTACTCCAAAAATGTGAGCCGAAACGATCAGCCCTGTCCTCATCTTGTGCTTGGTACCACTGTGCACTAGGGTTGTGTGTGCATGCACACCCAAGTTTGTGTGTACACACTTGGGTTTGTGCGTACACACCCGGGCTTGTGCATGACGGCCAGATCAAAAAGGTAGGCATGGGCGCCCTTGGGTTGCCATGTTCTTTTGGGTAGGCAACCTTCAAACCACATCAGAGTAGCTGCAAGTGAGAGAATAGTGGCCCGGGGCAGACAAGAAGCCCATAAGGAGGCTGGCCTGAGACCCTGGGGAAAGGCATTTTCCTGAAGACCTGTCAGTTAGGACAACCAGGAAAGGCTGCTCGCCCTGGCAGCCCACCTTGCAGCTCCACACATGAGAAGTCAGCTGAAGAATAAACCCAGCATCTCCCAGAGCTTCCCTTCAGTGGATCGTGCTGGAATCGGAGCATCTCTGGCCAGGATATACCTGGAAGGCGTGGCCACACGGTTCACACAGGGGCTGTGGTGTCACAGGCATGGCTCTCAGCAGGCCTGGGGAAGGCGCTCCAGGCCTGCTCCTGCTGCTGCTTCTGGCCTCTTCCCGGCCCTTCCTGCTGTGCTGTCGCTCCACTCTCTCTGCGAGGAACCAGTTACCCTGAATTAGGAGCCCCCCACATGGCTATGTCTCAGCTCTGGTAATTCTGAAACGCCCCAGTTCTAAGCAAGGGCCTCTGCTGAGGTACTGCGCTTGCTCTATCTTGAATTGTCTTGTTTCCCGGCAGACCCTGGATGGAGCTCAGGACCTGGCATGTGGGCAGAAGCATGCGCCCTCCAAGTGGCTGTCTTAGCAGCCCCTCCCCACTTTGTAGTCTTAAGCTGCCTGGGCTGGCTTTGAACTCGGGTCCTCCCAGGCAGCTGCAGGTGTGTGCTGCACACGGCTGCAGTGCGGAATCTGAATGTCACTCAGGCCAGGGCTCGAAAGCCTGGCCCTCAGCCCCTCCAAGGGCCCCTGGGACCCCAGGCCTGCCCGCCATCTCCACTCCAGGTGTCGTGTGGGAGAGCCTCTCTGCCACAAGTCCCCATCTGTATCTGTCTTGTCACCGCCTCCAGGAAGCCAGGGGCCAAAGCCAGCTTTTGTCTTTTTTTTTTTTTTTTTTTAAATAATATATTTTTAATCTTTTATTTATTTGGTACAGGGTCTCACTGTGCAGCTCAGACTTGCAATGATCCTCCCACCGCAGGCTTCCGAGTGCTGGGATTACAGGTGTGTGCCACCATGCCTGGCTTCAGGTTATCTGTTACAGCAACAGAAAGGTAGCAAGCACAGAAAACTGGCACCAACAAATGGGGTTGCTGCTGTGCCTGCCTGTGTGGCCTCTGGCGATGGGTCTGAGAGGAAGGTGTGGAGTCAGGCACAAAGGAGCCCATAGGTCACACAGGGAGTGCTGTGACTTGCACAGGTGGCCGGAGTGGCGTCAGAAGGTAGCTGGGATATAAAAGGATGCCACCAAGGAAGGGGCACTTGTGAAGGAGATTAGTGCCAGCAGGAAGGCGCTACATGTTTCCTACCAGAACAGGAAGGATGTCTTGTGCCTCTCAGGAACAGGCAAGAACTCCCCTGCTGGGCTCAGGAGCACAGCGTGTAAAGCCTGCTAGGACAGAGCACTTGCCAAAGCCACCGGGGAACTCCCCACTCCCCGTGCAGCCAGAGAGGCCTTCAGAGGCCACAGCAGCCGCGGCTCAGGCGGGTCCTGCTGGAGCTGCACCAGCGGCAGGTGTGGTGTCGTGCGATGCTACTCTGGCTCTGGAGCCTCCCACCAAGATTTCCAAGGAGGAGGGAGCTCGGGAGCTGCAGCAGCCATCACTAGGGCACCGTGTGTAGCTACGTGGGTACCCCAGGAAGGCAGGTCCAGGAGCACAGAATGCTGAGCACAGCGGCAGGCAGTGAGCAACGCCAGCCTCCAAGGGGGCCGGGGCAGCGGTGTGAGGCCACCAGGGAAGGCTGTCCATGCCACTAGGCCGCGGTGTGCCCCATGGCCATGCCTGGAGCCCTTCCGGTGGCCTCTGGCCCTCCCTGCCTTGGTCACAGCTTTCCCTTCTGGGAGGGCTGTGTCTACCCTCTGCTCTTGTGGCAAAGTGTGGAAGGCTCTGACTTGTATAGGGACTCAGAGCTGAGAGTTTGCTGAGAGCCAGGGAGGGACTGGGCCAGGGCGCAAGGCTGGTTTGCATCTTCAGTGCCCCCAGGGCCCTTGTGGGGCCCCAGCCTGTGGCAGGACAATGGGGAGGAAACTGCTTGGCACAGGCACCTGGCGAGGGCAGTGCCTCCTGGGGGACCCACCCTGCGGGGGGTTGATGAGCGTGGTCACACATGCCCGCCTGTGGCCCCCAAAGCCAAGCAGCCACCAGTCGGAACCTTTCCTGCACCTAGGGGGAGCCCACCCCAAGTATCTGTTGTAGACCACCCCCTGCTGGGCATAGGTTCCAATTCTGACCCGTGGTAGACAGCAGGAAAGGAGGCAGCCGCTTGCTGGTTCCTTTATTTACGGAGGTGGACAGAGACCAGGGTGACAAGGCTGCAGGCGAGCCAGAAAGCGGCGACAGTTTCTGCAGTGGAGAAGAGGGGGGATGCGGCTGTCAGTACCTGGTACAAGTTCTGTAAGCAAGCCGACCCTTCCGCATGGACACAGTGGAGGACTACCTAGTACATGCACACGGTTCTGCCATTGGGAGATTTTATATGGTATATGATCTGGTTTTTATAAATGTACAGCTTAAAGACCCTTCTTGTAATAAGTACAGCATGAACTGGGACACTGGCATGGGCCAGCCACCTTCCAACTGAAGACCTCGCACAGGTAAGGCCAGGGCGCGGTGCCCTGCCCAGCCTGGCCCAGCAAGGCCTGTGCCCCTGGACCAGCTGGGCGCCGGGCGCGCCTCTTCGGGCCAAGGCACTTGTCGGGCCCCGCGGGCTTCCCTGCCCGGTGAGTGGGCTGGGCGTGGCACCGTGGGGAGAGAGGCCGAGAGGTCCGAGTGAGCTGCCTGTCCACACACCAGGCTTAAATACAATAAATAAATCTTGGCGGGTGGCGGTTGTACCCTCCTGGCCCCAGAACAGGCTGCCTTGTAGGGTCACTTAGGGCGTGGCCTCCTGTCCCGGGGCTACTTCTCAGGATCCTCCACTCAGACGGCTGCAGGCCTCAGAGAAGCGACTGTGTGCTGTGGCTCAGAAGGGGGTCCCCTGGCATCCCTCCTGTCCATGCCAATGCCTGGGCACCTCAGATCTTGGCCACGTAGTTGTTGGGGAACAGGCCCTGCTTGCCTCGTAGCCGACCCGTCCACCAGCCGGAGGGATCTGCTCGGGGAGAGACAAGAGGGATACTGAGCGGGATAGCCACCTGTCACATACCCACCGCACTCCTCTCCTCCTGAGTTTGCTGTGAAAAGTGAGGTCAGGGTGCCCTCCAAGAGCCACCCTGCAGCCCAGTGGGGAGGCCAAGGCCACCTCGGGCCCTACCTGAGGGCTGCTCACTCCCGACCCTGCTCAGCATCTGCTCTCTGCAGCACGCCTCCTCCCTTCGGTTCCCTCACCCGGATTCCAGTCTGGAGCGTGGTTTTTCTTTTTTTCTTTTTTTTTTTGGTGGCACCAGGGATCGAACTCAGGACCTTATTACACTGAGCTCTCCCCCGGCACAGAGTGTGGTTTTTCTGCGCAGTCACATGTATCCAAGTCCATGCAAAACGAGGTGTCATATACCTGACAGCTCTGCGTCTCACATGTCTATCTCATTTTTAAAACAAGCACACTAGTATTCATATTGCTGTTGCCTTATTAATAACACCTGGGCCCAATTTTTATATCTCTGTACCCACAAGCAAGCAGTTGGGTAAGACATTTCCTGGCCCTAAGCACATGGGACTGCGACTACTAATATAACTGATATTTTAAGAGGCACTAGGATGACCCCAGGCTTGCTTTAACATCACTGAGCCAAGCCCCTGGCCCATCATCATCATCTCTTTTTTTTTAATTATAATTTCACAAGCAGTGAAAACTATGTATTTATAAAAATTACCCACTGTTGTACACAAACGTTAGCGTGGGGTATGTACACCGAAGGCCATTTTGTAGAAGCGTATAGAGTTTCTCCATCCTCTTCCACAGCCCTAGTTCCTAGGGTTTGCCTGTTTAGTTCATGGCCTTTTTCTTGTACAGGAGTTCCTTATAGACTGGTGAGTTTGTCATACAGTTGTAACACTGCCCCATTCTTGTTTTTCTTTGTTTCATTTTTTTCTTTTTGAGACATAGTCCGCTATTCAGGCTGGCCTTGAACTCACTTTAGAGCCCAGGCTGGTCCCACACTCTCAGCAAGCCTCCTGCCTCTGCCTCCCAAGTGTGCACCGCCACCCACACCTGGCTTTTCTGCGGGACTGGGCTCTAACTCAGGACCTTGTGCTTGTGAGGAGGCACTTCCGCCGCTGAGCTATCTCCGCGGCCCTCTGTCCCCATAACTGTTTCTGTTTTAATACTGAAGTAGTTGAATCAGTCGATCTGTTGTTTCGTAGCCACTTGGCTTCCTACACTTGTGGAAATCCTTTTCCACGCTGCTGTAAGTCTCAGAAGACTCGCGCTTGCGGGCTTGCGGCCTTCACTTGGCACGTGCACAGAGCTGGAGTTTATCTTGGTGCGGAGGTGAAGGGTAAGGCCATGGGAATGACGTGTTAAACATTCTGACCATTACTGCCAGCAGTGCTCCAAAGCGACAGTGTCTATTTCCTGTATGTACCAAGGGGGAAGCCTAGTTCCCTGCTTAAACACGGGACAGTTGACACCTAATGCAATGACAGAGTCTAGAAAGTTCTGAAGGGGCTGGTGAGATGGCTCAGTGGTCTAAAGCACCTACTTAGAACAAGCTTAGCAAAGCACAGGGACCGCAGTTCAATCCCCCAGCACCACATGCCAGCCAGCCTGCCCCCTGGTGGGCTGAGCTGGCCACACACACACACACACACACACACATAAATAAATAAAATTAAAAAAAAAAAAAAGTTCTGAAAACTACCAAGTGAGTGTTGGCCAGCCTCGACCTGAAGATGCAGGCTCGCGGGAGCAGTCGGCTCTGAGGCGCAGGGTTGTGGGGGGCGTGGGCCTGGGCCTGGCGGGGTCCGAGTGAGGGGTCTGCAACCCCCCAGGCTTCTGTCCTGCCTTGGAGGCCTTTGTCCACTTGGGCCCAGAAGGACCAGTTACAAGGAGGGACTATTTGTAAGGTGTTTTTTTTTTTTTTTTTTTTTTTTTTTTTTTTTTTTTTTTTGTGGAACCGGGGACTGAACTCAGATCCTTGCGTTTGCCAGTCAAACGCTTATCCTACTGAGCCATCTCCCCAGCCCCTGTAAGGTGTTTTTTGTGGTCTGTCTTTTATCATTTTTTACTTTGTTCTTGGTACTTTTTTTAAACAGAAGTTTGCAACTGTGCCTTTTTATGTCAAGTCATGCTTCGATTTTGCATTTTATGTCTTGCACAAAGCCTTTTCCTATCAAAAAATTTACATTCTAGGTTTCCTTCTAAGACTTATACCATTTCATTATGATTTTAGTTTTTTTTCCCTGGTACCGGGGATCGAACTCGGGACCTTGTGCTTGCAAGGCAGGCGCTTATGCCACTGAGCTGTCTCCCTGGCTAATTATGATTTTGACTATTATATTATTTTGTGTATGAGGTAGAAACAGTGCAACTATTTTCAAAATGGAAAGTGGTTGTCTGTCCCTTCTCCTCTGGTTGAAAGTGCCACAGCGGCTGGCCCAGTGTAGCGTGCCTGTAATCCCAGCACTCGGGAGGCTGAGGCAGGACTGCAGCAACCTGGGGCCAGCCTGGGCTACAAAGTGAGCTCAAGGCCAGCTCGGACTGCATAGCGAGACCTTGTTTCTAAAGAACCAAAAAAATCCCAAACCAGAAATAAACGAATGTAGGCCTCAAAATTCACTGCACAAGGGCCGGCCAAATAGCTCAGCCGATTAAAGTGCCTGTAAGCAGGTGCAGAGGCCAGAGGTTCAATCCCCAGGCCTACCGTGCTGACCCCACGCGTGCCTATAATCCCAGCTCTTGGGAGGCTGTAAACAGGTGGATCACTATGAGTCTGAGACCCTGAACACCCTGTAGACCCTTCCCTAAAATACAAAAAAAGAAAAAAATTCACTGAACGAATGGAGTGGTTTAACCAACCCCTTGTTAGGTCTTACTCCGTATCTCTTTGAACAAAGGACACGATTTGCCCTTCCTTTTGTCTCCCTCTGGCAATCTGACAGTTATGTGCTGTGTTCCAGGTCAGGGTATTGTCTTAGAATACCTTTTGGCTGTTTGGAGACAGGGTCTGTTTGTAGCTCAGGCTGGCCTTGAGCTAAGTCGCCTCGGCAGCCTCAAATGCAGGAGGATCCTCCTGCCTCAGCCTCCCAAATACTAGGATCACAGGTCTGCAGCACCGCACTCCGCTTTCTCATCTCCCCGACTTGGCGCTATGCCAGAGAACTCTCCCCTCCTCTGTGCGAATGTGCTTTCCGTCATGGTGGTTTCTGACACCGCTGCGTTTCATCGTGTGCTCCCTCCCTGCGTCTTCTCCACCAGTGACCACGCACTCGGCCTCACACCCATGGCTTCTGCCTGTGCCACACTCACCTTCCTTCACAATGTCGATGACATCGTTGGCGTTGAAACTGAGCTCATCCGTGTCCTGGGCGTCGTAGGCGTACAGGGCCTTGCACTGCGGCACCTGGGGCTTGGGCTTGGGCTGGGGCTTGGGCCTGCCACCCGCCGGGGGGGGCCGGCTGGTCGTCTGCCTACGGACACTGTGGACAGAGGGGAACAGAGAGACAGGCCTGGCAGGCTGGCTTTTTATTACGCACCCCACACTGTGTCCCTGTGGGCTAGTGAGGGCCACCAGCTGGCTAGCACAGATCCTGTGCCTCCCAGCAACCAGGGATGGGCACTGGGCACCCCAGGAGGGAAGACGGGAGCTGCAGATGGGAGGGTAGGGATGTCCAGCTGCCCCTAGGGACCTGGGGCGCCGGCCAGGCTGGCTCCCATGTCGAGGTTCAGGTGGGGACTGCCACCTGAATGTAGACTCTTAACTCTGGCTTCCAAGAGTGTCGGGGTGCAGCCCCCCCCTGGAGGCCCCGTTGCCCTGGCAGTGACTGGACAGAAGGCCCGAGCAGCTTCCCCCATCTCCTGGCCAGGCACTTCCACCCTGCGAGCCCGGCTCTGCCCCTCCTGGCTCTTGCCGCTCACTCCTCTGTCCACCTGAAGGTCCTCTAGCCACCGCTCTCTGCTCTTGGAAGGTGACTGGCGCTCCTCAGGGCGCCACCAGCCCCTGCCCAGCTGTGGGCCCTGCCCGCTGCACCCAGCTGCCTGGCGGGCACTGACTGCCCACGGTGCTCACTCTGGGAAGACAACCCTGCAAGATCAGGGTGCCGGCAGTCCTCACTGAGGTCCGATACTGTCCTGAAACGTGCCCAGCGCTACCAGCGAGAGAAGGCCCCCAAGGAGAAGCTGAAAGACCTCACCTGTGTGGGAAGTGCCACCCGCGCAGATGAGGGACGCATACAGAATGGTGCATTTCCCTTATCTTAGTGGCTTCAGTAGGGAGCTAGGACCCAAAACTCAGCCAAGAGGCCCGCAAGTCCGGCGCTGTGCAGAACCCATCTCCCCCAGCCAGAATGGCTACCATTAGGTCACAGAGCAGTCCCTACTGCGCGGGTGCAGGACGCCAGGCTGGCTACGCCGCTGGCAGGAACGAAATCAGTGCACCTACGGATTCTGGGAGGGAGGCGCCTGCAAGGCCAGGCTGCCAGCCAAGCCGCTGGGAACAGAAGCGCCCCACAGGGCACCCCGGACCCACCAACGGCGGAGCGGGTGCGGACACATCCTCGCCAGGAAGCAGCAGTGGGGCCGGGTCACCACGTGGGCAAGCATTTTGCTGAGGCGTGGACTCCAAGAGAGATGTGAACACAGGGGACTACTGTAAGGTGACAGGGAGCCGCGCGGGCGGAGGGGCATGCGGGCTGGGTCTCCTCAGTACACACACCGAGGCCCGTGTTCTGGAAGACTGCACAGGCACCAACGAAAATACTTCATATCTCATTGTGTAATCATCAGCAGTGAGACATTCAGAGATGGAACTGAGAAACAGCATTTATAATACACAAAAGACCGTAACGCTTAGAGTCGCACTTTTGTGAAACTTCTCTCATTTACGTGAACTGCCCATCACAGGCGAGGCCTGGGAGAGTGGCAGGAAGTAGACTGGTGTGTACCTGGGGCCGGGAGGAGAGGTGCCAAGGGACGGGCGCTTTTCCTGCAGTGACATACTCCAAGAGTAGACTCTACGGGTGGCTGCACAACTCGGATGCATTTACAACTGTTGAACTGTACAGTTTAAGTGGGTTGATTCTGGGGTTGCTTGCCTGGCCTTGAACTTGCTGCCATCTTCCTGCCTCAGCCTCCCGAGGGCTAGCGCCTCAGTCGTGTGCCACCACGCCCAGTGTAAAGCCCTATCTTGATACAGCTGCCTTGGAGAAGTGCAGGGGCTGGGCTGGGCTGGGCCGCGCTGACTGCTCTGGTGTGGGCAGCTGCTGCCAGGATGCCTGGCCCTGGGGCTTCCTCAGCACAGGTGAGAAGGGGCGCTCGGGGACCGGGCTCCGTGCACCCAGGACAGCCACTGCTTTGACTGCTCTAGGCCTGGAGGCCCCCTCAGGGCTTGGCTGATGGTGGAGGTGGGAGCTCCAGCCATGCGTGGTGTGGCCTCAGCTTTTGCACTGGGACAAAGTGACAGCATGCAGCAGGACACGGCCTCGGGCTGCTGTGTACCCAGCCTCTCACGCTCTTCAGGATGTCAGCGCTCTCCTCTGTACAACACGGAGAACTGAGGCCTGATTCCTTGTGTGACCCTGGCCAGAGCTCTGGGCAAAGGGGGACACTGGGTGTCCATCCCAGGACTCCAAGACGCTCCAAGGCCAGGAGCCTCTGGACCCCTGACACTCTCCCGTGTGTCACTAGGTGGCGGTCGTGTGTCATCAATAGTGAGAAGTAACGGCAGGCACAGGTCTCGGGTCCCCAGAGGTAACTGCCCGCCTGCCACAAGGACCTTAGACTCTTTCCCAGCAGAAGCTCCCTCGCGCCCAGCGATCTGGACATGCCCAGGGCCAGCTTGAGAGAACACACTGCTCAGGAATTCTGTCACAGTTATTCAAAGTGGCCATTAGTAAAAGTTATATAAACTTAAAAATTGAGTAAATTATGTAAGCGGCAAATAAACACTCATAATGCATCCAGCCCTATTTTACTCTGGCTCTGCTCATGAACGCGTCTGCCATGCCGGTGGAAGGCGCTTTGGGACCACGGACAGCCCCGTCTTCTCCTCCGCCTGTGGGCACGCTAAGAGGTCTCTGTCTGCTCACAGAGGGACATCTCTGGCCTTTCATGTTTTGAGACAGGGTCATAAGCAAGCCCAAGCTCAAGCTTGCGAGCCTCCTGCCTCAGCCTTGGTGTGCTCGGATTACAGGTGACTACCACCGCGCCCGGCTAGGGCAAGCGTGCCGTACCACTGAAGCTGGCAGAGGCCCCGGGTCTTTCTATCACAAGCGCCCTGTCTCATAGCACACCGCACTCGCCTGGACACCCACAGAAATTCCGGCCTAGGGGCTGGGGAGATAGCTCAGCAGTCTAAGCGCCTGCCTGGCAACGCGAGGCCCGAACTGAGCGCGGTGGCAGCACTGGGATGCTGCACGGGAGGGTCACGGAGTTCAAGCTGCGTAGTGAGACCCTGTATCAAAAAAAAAAAAAAAAAAAAAAAAAAATCAAAAAAAAAAAAAAAAAAAAATCTGGCCTAAAAACACTTTGCCCACGTCTGCTGTGGCCCTGTAAGCTGAGCAGGACTGTGGGTCATTCTGGCACCTCCAGTATTTCACAATCTTTGTTTTTCTAGTAAACCTTAAAAGATTGAAAAATATATTACAAAAACAATGATCTCATTGGAATAATGGAAGTTGCAGCAAGGATTTCTGATTCACCACGAAGTTCTTCTTACTGACATTTAGATAATATTTCTCCCCACATGCAGGTACAGTGTAGAACTCTAGAACTGTGACCTCCAGCAAGCCCAGCGTGTTGTTACACTGTAACTTATACGACGCAGTTTACTTCTCTGGCACGCGTCCCGTCCCGCGCTGGGGCAGTCTGTATGGACACATGCACTGGAGAGGCTTCTGGTTTTGGATCCTTCTTTCTGAACAGGGCTTTAGAGCTCTGCTGCATGATTCCCAGGACTGGCAGGGCTGCCCGGGGCAGCAAGCTCCTACTCTGCATCTGTGATAGGCATGACCAAGGGATACCCCGTGCCAAGATGCCCACTGGCCTTTGAGGCCTTGTGGACAGCTGCAGAACTCACAGGCTGCCCATCGCCCAAAGGGAACAACCCCAGTGATGCCAAGCAGCAGCTGCATAGTCCCTCTGCCCTGGGCACACCCAGCTCCCACAGGCTGCGTGCTGGGGCCAGGTGTGCAGCTGGCAGAGCGAGGAGCTAGTGACCGTCCGCTGCCCAGCAGAGCTCCCTGCCCGGGGACTGGGACATCCAGGGCCAGCTCTGCCCACCTCCCGGTCCCTGCAGACCTCGGGGCCCAGAGAGCTTTCCTCGCCCCCTGCAGCTGGGATGGAGTCTGGACGCCTCTCCCTCTGAGCTCTGCCAAGGCTGCAGCCCTGGGATGCGGGTTGTTGGCAACAAAACGCCTGGGCCAGGAAATACCTGTCCTCCAAGCCTGGTACAAGGTTAAAGTGTCTGCAAGACCAGCGCAGATGAATAATGGGACTGAAACAGGTGCCCAAACACTCTCCGGCTGGGCACGTAGCTCCGTGGGAGGGCACACGCCAGGCTCGTGCGGGGCCAAGAAACTGCAGCTACATGATGGCCTACGGTTGGCATGGAGTCTTCAGGAAAGCCCGAGGTGGGGTTCTTAAATCATCTAATTGTTGTGCTGCTTTACGGTGAGGACAGAGGATCATGTGGGAGTGCTGGGCATCACAGAGAAGGTCAGGAGCAGTGTGGCAGAAGCAGAGGAGCGAGCCAGGCGCCCAGCCAAAGCCCCTCGCCTCCTGCATCTGTGTGCCCGGCCCACTGGCACACGCAGCGTGCACCTCTGCCTGCCCCCCATGCCTCCTGGGCGGGTAAACCCCAGCCATGCCAGGGAGAGCCGGGCTAAAGCTCTCAGATATCACCTCTTTGTTCTGCAGATGTGAAGTTTATGTCCTGAAATTCCAAGAAGGAAAATAATGGCATTTGATTTCACTGGCTCTTAAAATTGTGCTCAGTTCCAAGAGGTTGAATCTATAAACATTACTGGAAATGTGGGAATAGATGCCAGGAATTCCTCAACTCCTGTCTGCCCGGGCCAGGTTATGGCGGCTGCTCTGGCAGGTTATGGCTTGAGAAATATTGCTATTGGACGCGGGCTGGAAATTTTAAGCCCCTTGAAAATACGCATCCATGAGGGGAGTCTCGACTAGACAGACAGGCCGCACTGACGCGCTCTGCCCCTCCTGTGCCCCTCCTGTGGCGTGGCCACAAGCCCCAGCCCTGAGCGCCTGCCATATTTTTTTCTCATTTCCCCAATTTCTAGTTGGATTACTCTCCAGAGTACCTTGAAATTTCCTTAAGTTGTCCTTTCATGAACCGGCCATAGGTCAGAAAGGGCCACAGACGTTTCCAGTCTGGGTTTTAACGGTTCCAAAATGAACTGCAGGAGGGCGACACACCTTCTAGCCACAAGGGGCGCACTGCAGAGCCCAGCCTCTTGGA